TAGAGATGGGGTCATGGAGAAGGGGAGTGGCTGAGGACTCTAGATTCAGGGCAAAAGAAGGATTAAGAGCTGATGGCCAGGAAGCAGACTTGCAGAATGTGCCCTTTGGAGGTGTAAATTATTATTTATTTATGCCTGAGTGTTCTGTTTGTTTTTTTTTTTTTTTAAAAAAAGAGCTAAAATGAATAGAGAGAAATACTGTTAATTGATGGTACATGGAGGGGATAAAAATCATTGTTATGAAACAAGGTGTATGATTTGTTGGATGTAAAACTGATGATATGCCCTGTAAACTTTCACTCAATCTACAATAAAAACCTTAAAAAAAAAAGTCCACTCTTACCTGGAATGTATGAATAGTTCTTGCCCATGCGTGTTTTATGCGACAATATTGCATTAATTTTCCAAAATCCACAGTTACTTCCAAGCCAGCATAATTATCAATAGTCAAAGATCTTTTCGTTCCAAAAGTCACATCAGTATTATCCTATCACCAAAAGATATTTTCTATGTCTTTAAATGTGCACACAGTAAAGATATATTCAGTTTGAACATAAAATGCAATCCCCTTAAAATGTATATTCATTACAATGGTTAAGAATGTCAAAAAACTTCATCTATACTAGAGCACAAACAGTGAATATAGCCACACCCAAGTATTTGGTGCTGTGGGTTAATGCACCAGACTGCAAAGCCGTTTGAACTGCAAGGTCAGCAGTTCAAGCTCAACAGCTGCTCCTAGGAAACCTTATACAGGGTCGCTATGGGTTGGAGCCAACTCGATGGCACTTAATAACAAGAAGTATTTTATTAAACACAAATAAAAGCTTTAGTCTTCAAAAGTTAAGTTTAACTTAAATTCTCTGAAGGACAGTTTATGTTTTATCTTAAAAGTCTATGTATTTCACTATTTATTGCTGACTGTGTAAGTCCCTGTCTTTGCCAAGAAATTACTGTTCTTCACTTATATCACTCAAGGAATATTAAGAGTTTAGGAGCATGACTCTATGATGAGAATAAATACAAGGTGATCACTTCCTTAGTTTCTATATTTAAGCAGCAGCCAAGGAGAATATGGCTTATAAAAATAAGCATCTCGCTTATGACTTGCTTTTTGTTACTCAAGCACTTCAAGTTGTTAAAAATGTATCTCTTCACAAACCCTTTCAGAAAATATAAGAAGAAACACTGTTTAAACTCATTTTCTGAGCCAGCATTGCTCTTATACTAAAGCCAGAGAAGACATTACAAAAACACTACATATCTATATCCCCATGAACAAGGATGCAAAGCTACTTAACAAAATATAAAGGAACAAGAATGTCAACTCTGACATTAGCATCTCAATTAATACTGTTGTTGCTAAGTGTCATCAAGTGGCTTCTGACTCATAGCAACTGTGAACAGGGTTTCCGAGGAGCAGCCCGTGAGCTTGAACTGCTGATTTTGTGGTTCAAACTGATTTTGCAGCCCAATGCATTAACTTGCAGCATTGCACCAGGACTGTCAATCAATACTATGGCAATAAAAATAAATAAATATAACTCTAATAGGTTTTTTTCAAAAACAGGATTATATTCCATCATCACTTACTCCTGTTATGTAAAATATTTCTCCATTGCATAAGCGAATATCACTTTCAAAGTTATTTTTATTTTTAGCAAAATCCTGAGGAAGACCATCAAAGTTTCCACCGTTGGACTCCAGCGCATTCTTGTACTGACTTTCAGATGCACTTTCAGGGAGTAAATCAGAGAGATACGCATTCTTGGTACAACAAATTTTATCACCAATTCTAAACACAAGTCTATTCGCGTGGTCTCTGTAGGAAAAAATGAGGATATGGCATCAAAGTTTGGAAAATCTAATCTCATTTTGTTTAAACACTGAGACCAATCCATTCTCAAAAGAATTTCCACATTCTTTCTAGTTCACTTTCAATCTCTAAAGGTCGACCAGAAATCCTACTCTCATACTTTCATCTGATTATGTAAACACATTCCCTGTAGCACCTCAAACTCACAGTGATGGATTGAATTATAGCCGTCAAAATTATGTGCTATAAATCCTAACCTCTATGCCTGTGGACTCCTGGTGTGTGCTGTAGGATTAACATTGGACTGCGAATCACAAGGTTGGCAGTTCAAACCCACCAGCTGCTCCTTGGAAACCCTATACAGTATGGCTAAGAACCGGAACACTTGACAGCACTTAACAACAAGATGCCTGGAGTTACAATCCTATTTGGGAATGAATTTTCATTTCATCCTATGACTTTATAGGGAGACATTCTGCATAAATATTCTCTTGTACATGTGTGGAAGTTGAGGCTTAGAAAGATGAAATTACCTACCCAAGCTCCTAGTTACTGGGACCTAGATTGCCCAGTCTAAAACTCTGTGCCTTTTAACTCACATGTTTAAACTACTCGACACAGTTTTTTGTCTTCGCTCAGCAGACAGGGCGCAACTCTTGTGCTTTGCACATCTCTGGGCCAGCTGAACTTAATAAACAGGAGGTATCAAAATACCAATAGAGAGGGAAGGAGTCTTCACATCAAGTTATCAATGCTATGCCCTCGGCACCCAGGGTAGATAGGGATGGGCAACTTAAGACATTGGCTACCTAAAATGAGGGGGCAATAAAGGCATGAAGTTACTGGCTTACAAGGTTTCAAGAGGGAGCTTAGTTTAAGCGTGTGGGGAGCAAGATAGAGTCCCCACTGAATAGTTTTCATCTTGTCTAGATGGGTCTGGTAAAAAGAGATGGGGATAAGATTCTTATGATTCAATAGTGGGTTAACTGTTATCATGACTAACTGAAACTGTCACAATTGTAAAGGTGGAAGTTTTGTAACAAAAATGGGGGAGTAGTTAATCTTACAGACCAGACCTCACTCTAGGACCATCAAGGGAGAAGAGCACAAGCAGAATGCGAGACCTTATCCAAAGAAGCAGCAACACCAGAGATGGAGGCAGAGATGGGGACATGGAGATATAATATAGAGCAGCTGAGGACTCTGGACTCATGGAAAGAGAGGGACTGAGTGCTGGCGGCCAGGAGGCAAGCTTGCAGAATATGCGCTTTGGTTTTCTAAATTATTATATATTCTTGTTTAAAAAAAACAAACAAAAAAAAGCTAAAATGAATAGAGAAAATACTGTTAACTGATGTTACATGGATGGGATTATAATCATTATAATGAAACAAGGTGTAAACTTTGTGTAACAAGGTATAAATCTGCCCTGTAAACTTTCACCCAACTCACAATAAAAACTTAAAAACAAACAACAGGAGGTGTCAGTAACTATAAGGGAAAGGAACAGCATTTTGCTGTGTATAACAGAGTGGCTGCTCATACTAACTCACCAAGGTGCTCTCTACCCACATCCTGTTGCTCAGGTTCTTGGAAGCACTATACATACCTGAACCTCTCAAGTTCATCTTACACAAGCTAGACCTTGCTATCTTGAAAACCATAAGGAAAATTGATATCCAAAAGGTCAATTTTCCTATGTTGCTGTTGTTGTTGAGTGCCGTTGAGTTGGTTCTGACCCATAGTGACCCTATACAGGGTTTCCGAGGATCATTTGGTGAGCTTGAACCACCAACCTTATAGTTCATTAACTCACAACACATCCATGTTATAATGGTGGTACCATGGGTTAGGTTATTCTGTTGGGCCTAACATCAGCAGTTCAAACTCACCAGCCATACCTTAAGAGAAAGACGAAGCTGTCTGTTCCCACAAAATTTACAGTCTCAAAAACCTTACAAGAGTCGCTGTGAGTCAGAACCAACTTGATGGTCATGGGTTTTATACCATTTTTAAGTGATGAGATACTCAAGCATCACAAATAAGAGGAGAAAAGAAAGGCTTTCAACTATGTGGCTACAGCTCAGAAATTTCAGAAGAAACCAAAGCAAATCAGCAAAGCAAGATTGGACTGTCCCAAGTTCCAGCTCGTTACTCACTTGATTAAGTGGCCTCTGTAGTGCTTGGAACAGCAGTCGTTGATGAGATCACAATCTTGTCTGAAACACATGAAGATGCAAGGTCACCTTTGAGGCATCTGTTTTGTGCTTTTTTATGCTATCAACAATTATGACACACATGTTTCTATAAAGAGGTTCCACTTTGGAGCAGTGCCTGGCACATAAATTCTTAATAAATGTAGGAAGTGGGGGAAAGAGGGCCCAAGACTTCTTCCAAGAACAAGCATTTTGTAATTTTCAATGTAACATGAACTTCTTTGTTTCCCGTCAGATTTCCTATGAGTTTCCAAATAGGTGATACAGCAAAAAGCTTGTCTAGACTAGTAACTGCTGTCTGCCACATGTAACAAAGAAATGCCTCAAAATAAGAAAGAATTAACAATGATGAGCTATGATAATCTCACCTCCAAAAGGAATCATTTATCAGTTCTGAGACATAAAAGTGAGGTTAAAAACTTTAAATGACTGCAAATGCGTTTACCTTCTAAATGCAATAAACTGTGATTTTTTTTCATCTTTTAGGTCCTTTTCTTTGAGTAAAGCTCCAACCACAGAATATAGATCTGAAAATTCAAGAGAAAAAAGTTAAGACAGAAAGTCACCAAATTACATTGTTTCTAAGGACAACCTAATTCAGAATTCCTGCCAAGGAGCCCAGGAAAACATCTCATCAAATGGAAAGCAAGTTCTTCATGGGCACATCCAGCTCATTCCCTACATCAGAAACCTGTCCACAGTGCGTGATTCTGCTGGTATTTAAAGTACTGGCAGCATAGCTTCCAGAATCACAGCTCTCATTTTATCCCAGATCAAATAAGTAAATACAACAAATTACACTCTAGTATCAATTACCACAGGCCTGACGTCACAGTAGTTAAGCACTGGGCTAACTGAAAGGTCAGCAGATTGAACCTACAATCACTCACTCCACAGGAGAAAATGTTTCAGTCTGCTCCCGTCAAGATCACAGCCAAGGAAATCCTATGGGGAAGTTCTATGCTATGAGGCAGAACTGACTCGAATGCAATGAATTTGTTCTGTTTTGATAAATGAACACAATCAGCACTCAGATCCTGGTTTTCTAATACCATTACTCAATAAAAGGAGAAATGGCAGACACTAGAGTGTAGTGGTCCTTGGATGGCACAAACGATTAAGTGCTGGACTAGTAACTGAAAGGGTGGGCGTTCAAAGCCACACACAGGTATCTCAGAAGAAGGGCTTGGGGAGCCGCTTCTGAAAGGTCACAGTCATGAACAGTCTATGAAGCGGTTCTCCTCTGCAACACATGGGGCTGCCACGAGTAGAAACAGACTCAACGGAAACTCTTCTGATGTTTTGTTTTGGGGTTTGTTTGTGTGTGTACAGCTACAGTAAGTAATATACACAAAATGAGCTGGTTCCAATTCATAGCAACTCTGTTAGGGTTCAAAGGAGGGGCTGGTGGGTTCGAACCACCAACTTTGTGGTTATCAGTCCAGTAGTTATCCTACGGCACCATACCAGGACTCCAATGTCTGCCAAGTAGAATAGATTAGAGTTATGGGAACAAAGTCCTCCATCAATGCTCTTTGTCAACCTGGTGCACAGGTCTCTCTTGGATTCTGATGGAAGGCTTGGAACACGACTGATTTTCAGATTAATGCATATATTAATGCATATTTCACTGACTGTCACAAACACTTTTTCCACATTTTAACATTGTAGCCAAGCCACAGTTTGTCTTAGGTCTATGTATTCTTCCATAATAGGTATAATTTACTGAGTAACTGATTGACCCTGCTCCTGATCAACAGAATGGTACTGCAGCTTCCCCTAGGTGGCGCTGAGAAAAGTCCTGCTTAAGCTTCCGGTCTCCTGAAAGCTTAAGTCTTTATTACACCAAGACACCCTCCTCCAGGTAGTTTCAGGAACATCTCCATAATTCTGCCCATTGGAAGCCCTCCAAAACTGTACCCAGACTTAAATACCGCCTTAAATACGCCAGTCTGTAAGGGACAGGCGGGCTCTTTGTCTCTCGTGACTTTGAGTTCCTCCTCCCAGGTTTACTCTCAATAAACCTGCCCGCTGTTGAAGCCACGTTTCTCTCTTCATCTCTTTCTTTCTTATTTCTTACATTAACTTATTTAGTTATTGACAAAAAGTATTCTATACCTTTCTAACCAAAACCAAAGGAGCTCTGGTGCTTCAATGGGTTGAATGGTTCAACCCCACCAGCCATTCTGTCAGAGAAACTCGAAACAGTTTGCTTTCATAAAGATTTACAGCCTCAGTTCTACTCTGTCCCTATAGGGGTGAATATGTACTGACTCATCAGCAGTGGGTTTGGAACCAAATCCAAACTTCACTGCCATCAAGCCAATTCTGGCTCACAGTAACCTTCATGACTGAGTAGAACTACCCCGCAGCGTTTCCAAGGCTACGGAATCACACCGCTAAATCTTTCTCCTGCAGAATGTTCGAACTGTTGACATTTCCGTTAGCAGGCAAGTGCTTAAGTGCCTTCCTGAGGGATATTTATTCTATTCTTTTAAAGAAGAGACACATTTCCCAGCAGACACATTTTGATCTGTAACAAATATTTACAGAGAAATATTTTCTACTAAAATAAGTGATAGAAAAGACTGCACCATCAAAGGTGAGAAACTTGTGAGACTCAAAAATGCAAAGCAACACTTTGAGAGCGATCACATTTGTTCCACAAATGTACTGAAAACAGCAAGTCTGTTTGTCTTTCAAACTGCTAATAAGAGAAGGAAAAAGAAAACTTTATTAATTGTTGCTTTACTTTCAATGACAGCATGTGTATCTATTTATTTACTCAACAAACACTTAGTGGACCCTACTCCATGTCAAGGAGCTCTGGTAGCATAGTGGTTACGAAGCGGGCTACAACCTCAAGGTCACCAGTTGGAAACTACCAGCTGTTCCACTGGAGAAAGATGAGGCTTTCTGCTCCCGTAAAGATTTACAGCCTCAGAAACCCTGTACAGGGTCACTATGAGTCGGAACCAACTCCATGGCATATAACCACCACCACCACTCCATGTCACTTATTTATAAAATTATGTTGTTATTGTTAAGTGCCATCAAGGCAGTTCCGACTCATAGTGACCCTGTATAGGGTTTCCGAGGAGCGGCTGCTGAGTTTGAACCACTGACCTTGCAGTTCAAACTGACCTTCAGGTCGAGTGCTTATCTGATGGTGCCACACAAGGATTTCTATAAAATTCTAGGGTAATCAATTTTGACAATTCATAAGTCAGTGTAATTTTGGTGCCTATTTTTTATTAGAAAACTTGATGGTGCTGTGTGCTAAGCACTGGACTGCTAACCAAGAGTTCGGCAGTTCAAACCCATCAAGGAGGAGGCCGGCTCCCATAAAGAGTCACAGTCTCAGAGACCTCATATGGGCCACTATGAATTGGAATCTACTTGTTGGCAGTGGACATTTTTTATTAGCAATTTTATCTTTGCTGTAAATAACATTTTAACTAGTCATTTAATAACTCTATTTATTGTTCTTGCTGGGTGTCATGGAGCCAGTTCTAACTCAGCAGCCCTAAACACAACAGAATGAAGCACTGCCTAGTCCTCACAATTGTTGTTAGGTTTGCCCATTGTTTTTGCCACCATGTCAATCCATCAAGTTGGGGGTCAAATAACTATATTACAAAACTGAAACACTTTCTGTATTATAGGAGTTTACACTTACGAGGGTGATGATTACTTTTAGACAACTGAGACTTCTGAGAGCCCGCATTCTCTTCTGGAAGTCGGACAAAAATAAATGCCTTATCTTCAATTGACATGGGGAGTATTGAATTATCAGATATTTTCAATTCTGCATCAAATACTGGAAATTGATGTCTTGAGATTCTTGAATAAAGATAAAATACATACACCAACAACATTACCATACAAAACTCTTTCTTCATATATGATCAGAGCAAATATCATCACAATAATTATTATCTGGTCCTGGTTTGGTGCTGCAGGCTAGGCACTGGATTGCTAACCACAAGGTTGGCAGTTCAAACCTAGCAGCCACTCCTCACAATCCTTTCACAGGGTTGAGATAGCAGCACACAACAATAGATCATTTAATAAGAGCGAAAGGCAATCTGATTATGCATTATAAATAGCAAATGACCTTTATAATAAAAATTAGCAAGACCATAATGCTATAAAATTTAGCAAGCAGCTCTCTAGCCCTAACAAATGAAAAGTAAGGGAAAGTACCAGAAAAAAATTATCTTCAAAACCCATTAGACTGTATAATACAAAGGGAAAAACAGAGTTGTTCTGGAGTCGACTTTGACTCAAAGCGATCATAAGTACATCAGAGTAGAACTGTGTTCCCAAATCAATTTCGATGGTTGATTTTATGGAAGTACATCTTTCTTCTAAGATGCCTCCAACCTTTAAGTTAGCACATGAGCACATTAATGAACAACACAAAGAATGAGCTATGATGTAAACTATGGATGTTAGTTATTAATAATGCATCAATACTGGTTAATCAGTAGTAACAAATGTGCCACAGGAATACAAGATAATAATAGGAGAAACTCGATAGTTTTTTTTTTTTAACAATTACTCTGCAAACCTAAAGCTACTCTAAAAACTAGTCTATTTAAAACATTCTGAGAAAACTTACTGAGCACCGTTCTGATAATTTGTCCTACTATACCCTTTAAATATAGATGGTATCCTCATTTCTCAGGTGAGGGACATGAGGTTCCTGATATCAGCTTTACTGGGCTTAAGACGGCATGGAGGTAGAAAAAGCAGGGGGACTGGGAAGCAAATCTAGACTCCATATCCCTTTCTACTTAATTAATTTGGACTCCTTGAGTTCTTTTCCATATGTTTATACCTTACTTGGGGAGTGTGGTGGTTCCACAGGATAATCACTGGACTGCAAACTACAAGAGAAAGATAAGGGTCCCACAAAATATGTAAAGCCTCAGAAACCCTATACAAAGTCGCTATGAGTCGAAACCTCCACGGCACTTAACAACAACTTATCTTTTCTCCTTTTTCTTCTGATTTTCAAATAGATTGAAATAGTTCAAAATGTTTGTGGAAAAATTTCATGATCTCTTCAATCCATTTCATCACTAACTTTTTGAAGCTCCCTTGTATATGCCTCCATTTCCCCAAGTGAACGAAGCATCCACATTTTCTCTCTGCTGCTATTCCCTCCTCATCCTTCTCCTGACGACCTTGTATTTCCTAACACTAGTTAAGTTACACCGGAAAGCAGGGTCAGGTGTAGGTGCCTTGTCTTACCAGAACCTGTCTTGGAGACTTGGAAGAAGAACGGCTGCCTGGGCAGACCCAATGGCAGCCTCACTACCAGAGGTGCTGGAAAACGACTGTACCATCGTTAACCCTGCCTAAACGCAGATCCAAAGGGAGGTGAGGGGAAGGAAGAAGGCACTCCAGTCCCTGCTGGAAATGTCCCAGATTCAATCTGGGGCATCCTGAGAACCATCATAGATTTCCTATAGTTTCTGACCCAGGACATATGTAGACCATATTTCTATTTCTGTATGCATTTCTTTCGTATTGTACAGGGATCCTTCAGTGTTGATAAATGACTGGTGATGAGCATTATGAAGAGATGTTGGAAGAAGCACGTTGTTAATTAACATCAAGTTGGTTCTGACTCCTAGTACACTGTATAGGGTTTCCAAGGAACAGTTGGTGGGTTTGAACTGAGGACCTTGTGGAAGGTTCATTGTTTTTTTTGTTAGGTACCATTGAGTCGGTACTGACCCATAGTGACCTTATGCACAGCAGAATGAAACATTGCCCGATTCTGTGCCAACCTCACTACTGCTGCCACGCTTGAGTCCATCGATGCTGCTACTTGTCCAATCCATCTTGTTGGGAGTCTCCCTCTTTTCCTCTGACCCGCCACCTTACCAAACATGATATCTTTCTCCAGCGACTGGTCCCTCCTGACAATATATCTGAAGTGTGAGAGGCGAAGTTTGGCCATTCTGGCCTCTAAGGAGCACTCTGGCTGCACTTCTTCCAACACAGATTTGTTTGTTCTTTTGGCAGCCCATGGCACTTTCAATATTCTCCTCCAACACCAAAGCTCAAAAGCATCAATTCTTCTACGGTCTTCCTTACTCACTGTCCAGCTTTCGCATGCATATGAGGTTATTAAAAATTTCATGGCTTGGGTCAGGCGCACCTTAGTCCTCAAGCTGACATCTCTGCTCTTCAACACTTCAAAAAGGTCTTGTGCAGCAGATTTGCCTAATGCAATACGTCGTCTGATCTCTTGACTGCTACTTCCGCGAGTGTTGATAGTTGATCCAAGAAGAGAGAAGTCCTTGACAACTTCAATCTTTTCTCCATTGATAAGAATGTTGTCTATTGGTCCAGTGGTGAGGATTTTTTGTTTTCTTTACATTGAGATGTAATCCATACCGAAGGCTGTGCTCTGCGATCTTCATCAGTAAATGTTTTAAGTCCTCTTCACCTTCAGCAAGCAAGGTTGTTATCATCAGCATATTGCAGGTTGTTAATGATCCAAGAACAGATTTGGAAGGAGCACAGCCTGACCCAAATAACTGATTTTCAGATGTAAGGATTATGTAAAATTCAGACTCCCAAACCCACAGAACATCACTTCAAAGGCTATGCAAAGACGAAGGGATGAGATGTTTCACTTTTATAGCAGTAATAAGTAATGAGTGCCAAGAGAGAGTCATCAAGGAGTGAAAATTGCACCTTTAATTTGTTTGCTTTGGGTTTCCCAGCCAGAAAGTAAAGGAAATGGCTTCTTCAATTCTTCCTTGAATTCAAGGGAACTCAATTCCAAGTGGGGTCCTGATATGGTGCCATAGGATTAGCACTTCACCTAAGGTTGGTGAAATGAACCACCATTTCAGGAGTTCAAAGTCACCAGTCTCTCCTCAGAACCTCTATAAAGGGTTGCTATGCGTTTGAACCCACTCAATAGCACTTAACAACAACAAATTCCAAGTAAGGTACCTAGATGGCATAGTGGTTAAAGCACTCAGCTGCCAACCAAAAGGTCAGCATTTCAAATCCACTGGGCTCCATGTGGCAGTTTGCTTCCGTAAAGACGTACAACTCTGAAAGCCAGACTGGGCAGTTCTACTCTGTCCTATGGGGTTAGTAGGCGTCAGAACTGACAGGACCGTACTGGGTTTGGGTTTTTTGGTTTGGGGTTAATGTTCAAGTGCTTGCATTGGCCTTATTTTACTCACAAAATTTGATACAACTTTAATTTACAGTTTTTTTAAAATGAGGTGAAATTCATATAATATTGAAATTAACCACTTTAATGTAAACAAATCAATGGCATTTAGTGCATTTGCAATATCACAAGTGTAACCACCACTTGTATCTAATCGAATTCCAGAACATTTTCACCACCCCAATAAAAAGCCTACACCAATTAAACTACTGTCCCCCACTCCTCCTCCTCATCCTACCCATATATATGTAGACATGTTGTTACTGTTAAGTGCCCTCGAGTCAGTTCCGACTCATAATGACCCTGTATAGGGTTTCCCAGGAGCTGGTCTTTTCGTTCAAACCAACTTTGTAGTCCAGTGTTTATCCTACAGCACCACAATAGGATTCCATATATACACCTTTTAAATCAGGAAGAAACAACTTGAAATTTCAGTAATTTATACTGGACAGGTAATGAAAAATATTTACTGTTTTTCTAAATGTAAGGCAAATGCTACATTCTATAGAATAGGTTTGCTAAAAGGTTACAGTAAATTAATCACCTGAATATTTAATAGATATACATACTTAATATAGAACTATATACATTTTTTACTTTTAATACAAAAGACAGAAAATGCAAAATCTTAGTTATAACATACCTTGTAGCATTGTCCACAATGAGCTGAGACTCTGTTCGATGGTTTGTCCTTAGCTCAACAGCACACTTTCTTGATTTAAGCGTCTCAAAAAGATCATTCAGCAAGTTACCAGGTTCAATACTAGGTAACTGTCTAATATCACCTAAAAGTGGGGGGATAGTTACAGTTGGTTTTAGGAACTGGGGTCATGAAATTAAAAAATGATTTGGGGGGGGCGGATTTTCTCCCACAGATACATGCAATTATCAAAATGACTTTCTCTAACAGAGACAAAGAGTCAGGACTTTTCTCATTTAAACTTACTTAAAGATATAAATTTAACAAAAATAACATTGAAATTAAGCAGTATAAAATATGAAAAACTGTAAAGTCACAAAATCTAAACTGAACTTCTTACATACCATAACCATAAATGAATTGTGTAGGAGGACATTGTTAAGCTAACACTTTTTAAAGCAACAGAACTCTGTATTTAGTCACTTGTTCGCTATCTTACTGAACATGGAAAAAACTAAGGCTTTACACATATACTAACAACATATTAAACATAGAACACACAAACCAAATGAATTAATAAATACATTCCACTAATGTGATTATGTTTTTCTCTTTTAAAAAGAGAGAAACAAACAGAAGGACCCCTAGAGATAAGGAAAGTTTTTACTGGAGAAAACATCCTCCAACTAGGAGAATGCTTAAGTCTTTAGTAGAATCAACTACTTACAAAATATCCTCAAATACTGGAAAATACTTATATACAATTTGATTCTACTCTTCCCCCATTAAATTCTACAGTCTACAGATCACTACTAACCAACAGAATCTTATCAGAATTAAAAAAGATTCAAATTAGACTGGTAAGGCCTAATGTGAGTTACTAGCTTGTGATAGTTGTTACTGACCCACAGTGACCATATTCACAAGAGATTCGGAAACACTGCCCAGTACTGTTATGTTTGAGCTCACTGCTGCTGCCACCATGTCAGTCCATCAAATCTTCCTCTTTTCCACTGTGCCTTCACTTTACCAAGCACGATTTCCTTCTCTAAGGACTGGTTCCTCTTGACAACATGTCCAAACTACGAGAGACAAAGTCTCACCATCCTCGATTCTAAGAAGCATTCTTGCTGTACTTGTTCAACGACAGATTTGTGTGTTCGTCTGGCAGTTCATGGTACTTTCAATAGTCTTTGCCAACACCACTATTGAAATTGCATCAATTCTACTACAGTCTGCCTTACTCATTGTCAACTTACTCTAAGTTATTAGCTTTGTTGTTGTTGTTGTTGCGAAGTATCACTGAGTCAGTTCCAACTCATAGCGACTGTGTACAGGGATTCCGAGGAGTGGCTGATGAGTTTGAACTGCCAACCTTGTGGGTTGTAGTCCAGTGCTGATGCTATAGTGCCATATCAGAAGTTATTAGCTTAGAATAATACAAGTACTTTTAAAAATAACCTATAATACAATTTCTAGATGATCTGCATCCTGACTTTCTCTGACTCTGACTTCTTAACTGTTTCAATAATCACTTACAAGTTTTCAGTCTCATCCTGTTATTGTTGTTGTTAAGTGCCATCAAGTCAATTCCGATCCATAGTGACTGTGTATAAGGTTTCCAAGGAGCAGCTGGTGAGCTTGAACCACCAACCTTGCAGTTCAAACAACTTTGCAGTCTGACTCATTAGCTCACAGCAGCACACCAGGAATTTATACTGGTGTAAATAGGTTACAATACTTTGAACTAAATAACAGAATTCCAACAATATTTTAACTTACCAAGGACAATAAGCTTAGAAAGTTTGGAGTGCTCACACAATAAATTTAAAACTGATTTGAAGATTCCTACGGATACCAAACTCCCTTCATCCACAACCAGAACTCTAACTGAAGAAAATTTCCATGGCTTTTCCTTTGCCATCTTATGTTTCTCCCATAAGTAGAAACTGTAATTAACCTACAAGTAAAGCACAGTATTTTTAAATTCAGGTTTAAAAAATTGCACAAAACATGTTTACAGCACATTATTTTAAAACAAGAATCTCAAAACGGGGGTGAAAAACCTAGGGAAAAGACTAAAGAAATAGAGAATACAAAGTTACAATGATATATATGCAGAAAAGACAGATCAAATAATTTAAAAAAATTTTTTTAAATAGAGAAAACTGCTTCCTAATAAGTACTTTGGTGTTGTTGCTTGTCGTCAAGATAATTTTGACCATAAAGACCGTAGGACAGCCGCCTCCTTCTTCTGCCGCTCTTGGTGCTGCTTGTGTGCTCGTTCGGTGCGGACCTGGTACCTCTTTTGTGAAGCGGCAGCTGAGGAGACTCCGGCGCTCGCCATGGCCGACGAGAAACCCAAGGAAGGAGTCAAGACTGAGAACAATGATCATATTAATTTGAAGGTGGCGGGGCAGGATGGTTCTGTGGTGCAGTTTAAGATTAAGAGGCATATACCACTTAGTAAACTAATGAAAGCCTATTGTGAACGACAGGGTTTGTCAATGAGGCAGATCAGATTCCGATTTGACGGGCAGCCAATCAATGAAACAGATACACCTGCACAGTTG